GGGAGAAGAAAGAACTGAAGAACTTGTAACTCTTTATTCTGCCACAATCTCTTCCTCTCTCTCTCTCTCCCTTCTCGTTCCTCCTCCAAGCATCAGCCACCTCCCCTCACTCAAGTGCACTCCCCCCACTTGCTCTCCCTCACCCTTCCATCCCTTCCCCCCTTCCCTCCCACTTTACCCCTTTCTCCCCCCTTTCTTCCCTCTCCGCACCCTCTACCAGCCTCGCTCACCTCCAGGCCTAACAGAATCCGTCTGTTTGACAGAATCCGTCGGTCCCACTGCTGCAGCACCTCTGCCTGGCGCCTGAACACGGCGCACCGCTCGTCCAGCTCCATTGTCCATGCGCGCACGATCTGTGTGGGGGGCGCACGCGCGCATGGGCGGGGGGGGCACGGGCGCAGGGGCGCATGGGTGGAGGGCGCAAGGGCCGGAAGGCGGACGGGAGGGCGGGCGCATGGGCCCAGGAGCGGAGGGCAGATGAGCGGATGGGCGGATGGGTGGATAGGCGGACAGGCGGATAGGCGGAAGGGGGTATGGGAAGAAGGAAGGATGTGCAGAGAGGGGAAGGGGGAAGCGACATGATAAAACGTTCGGTCACATCAAGAGAAAGTGGGCACGCATGAACATGGTTTCATCATACAACCTCGTTCTCCTCTCCACACTCCCTGCCCTTTCCTCTAACCCTTCCCCAACCCCCCATACACACACACAAACCTCTCTCCCCATCCCCCTTCCCATCCCTTCCCCCTCCCCCACGTCCCATTTCCCCTTCTCCACCCCTTCCCCCTCACTCGCCCACTCCCCTTTCCCCGCCAACCCCACCTCTTCCACTGTCTTTCCGGCAATTTCTGAAGGTAGCTTCGGTGACAGAGCCCCCGCCGCTGCAGCCGCCGCGGCCGCTGCTGTTGCCCCTGCTGCTGCTGGTGCTGACGCCCCCGCCCCTGCAGCTGCTGCTGGTGTGGACGCAGCAGCGCCTGTAACGCCCACAGTTGCTCCTGCTAGAGCTCCCCCAGTGGCCGCAGCAGTACCGAACGAGAAACCCCCAGCAGTGGCAGCACCCGTTGCAGCAGCAGCAGGGGTAGTAGCAGGCGCTGTGGCAGGCGCGGTAGCAGGTGCGGTTCCTGCTGCTGTGCTTGCTGCTGCTCCCCCAGCAGCAGCAGGAGCAGCAGTGGTGGTGGAGGTGGGAGTAGAGGCGAATGAGAAACCGAGGGGGGAAGAGGCAGCAGCAGGGGTGGACGCAGCGCCGAAGAGAGAGGGAGCTGTTGTTGCTGCCGGGGTAGATGCAGCTAGGGGAGAGGAAAACGGGGGGAGGGGTTGGAGGGGAGGGGGAGAGGGAGGGAAAGGGGAGAAGGGACGGGAGGAGGGCGACAATGAGAAACAGGGGATGTGAGAGAAAATGTGAGATAAGAAAGGAATTCAATGTGTCGATATCAAGCGGAAGAGAGGTGTAACCAGCACGTCCCTGAAACTAGGGTTGTCAGCACAAGACTGAATGGCAACGTTTGTAGGCAAGTTATGAGGCAAGAAAGACAGGGTATGGCCAGCAGTAGCAGCACAATAAGGGGCAGACAAAACAAGACAGATTATCCAGCAGAAGCAAAGAAACAGACGCACCAGCGCCAGCAGGGGTGGTGGCAGCACCGGGGGTGGAAGCAGCAAAAGAGAAGGAAGGAAAACCGGTGGTGCCAGCAGCGGGGGTAGAAGCAGCAGCAGAGGCAGGCGCGGTTGCTGCCGCAGCAGGAGAGGCAGAGGCAGGCGTTGCTGCTGCTGCTGCTGCTGCTGCTGCTGCTGCTGCCTGTGTACCTGCAGCTGCAGGAGTCGTTGCAGCAGTCGAAGCAGCAGCAGCAGCAGGAGTGGATGGAGCAGCAGCAGCCGAGCCTGCGGCTCCCGAACCAGCAGCACCCCCGCCAAACAGAGGCTTGGCTGCCGAGCCAAACAGGCCTCCTGCAGGAGCTAGCCCAGAGGCCGGGGCCGAACCTGCTGCAGCACCGAAGTTCAGAGAAAACGCCGGGGCAGTAGAACATGCACCAGCAGTACCTGCAAACCCTGCTCCTGCGGCTGTTGCAGCAGCAGCAGGAGCTGAAGCAGCAGCAGCAGCAGCAGCGGTAGCAGCAGCAGAAGCAGGAGCGCCAAAACCACCAGGTTTCGTCCCAAACCCAGTGAAACCGGCAGCTCCGGCAGAACCCGCAGTTGCAGGGAAGGCTCCCGAGGAGAACAGACCTGGAGCAGAGGCAGCGGTAGTGCTTCCGGCAGCAGCAGCAGGAGCAGCAGCAGAAGAGCCTGCACCGAATAAGCCTGCCCCAGCCGCGGACCCAGAGCCAAAGGAAAAGCCAGTAGCAGGGGACGCTGCTGCTGGCGCTGCAGCAGAAAAGGCAGGCGCTGCAGACGCAGCAGCAGCAGCAGGAGCAGGGGAACCGAAGAGATTGGTGGGGGCGGCAGGGGAGGCGGCGGGAGCAGCAGCTGTGGCTGGCTTTGCTGCTGTTGCAGCGCCGCCAAACGCAAACGGACTAGCTGCCGCTGCTCCTGTTATGCCTGCCTGCCCGAAAACCGGTGCTGTGGCTGCTGCTGCTGACCCAGGCTGACCGAAAGAGAAGCCAGTAGAAGCAGCAGGAGTAGAAGGAGTTGCAGGTGCCGCTGCTGGTGCACCAAAGGGGGTGGACGAGGCGAGAGGGGCAGCAGCAGTGGGGGTGGCTCCAGTGGCCGCAGCAGATGCGGGCTGCCCGAAAAGCCCTCCCCCTGTCGCCGCTGCCTGCCCGAACGCCGGGGCAGCCGCTGAAGAACCAAAAAGAGGCGTGCTTCCTGCTGCGGCGGGCTGCCCGAAAGCGGGCGCGCTGGATGGTGATACGCCGAACGCTGGCGCTGTGGTCTGCCCGAAAAGAGGCGAAGAAGCCGGTTTTCCAAAGGGAGAGGCGGTCTGCCCGAAGGCTGGTGCGGATCCTGCCTGCCCGAACGCTGATGTACTCTGCCCGAAACCGAAAGCCGGCGCTGCTGCCCCTGGGGTTGACGCCTGCCCAAAAAGAGACGGCGCAGGGGAGGCCCCAGCGGCCGGCGTAGAGGCAGCAGCAGCCTGCCCGAAAACCGGGGCAGCGGAAGAAGCCGGGGCTGCCTGCCCGAACGGCGACGCCGCGGTCGCGGGCTGCCCGAAAACTGGCGCGGCGGCCGCTGATTGGCCGAAGGCGGGCGCGCCGGTGGCAGATGCGCCGAAGGGGGAGGTGGTAGCGGCTGGGGTGGAGGGGGCAGCTGAGCCGAAAAGGGACGGCGTGGTTGACTGGCCGAACGCGGGAGCAGCGCCGGCGGCTGGGGCTTGCCCGAACACTGGCGCTGCTGCGGAGGCACCGAAGGGGGAGCTGCGAGGGGGGTAGGGTGGTTTGGGAGGGAGAGTATGGGGAAGGGCGAGACTCAGGCGACAATGGTCGGCAGATGGGACCAGATGGCGACAGACGGCGACAAGTGGCGATTGCTGCGACAGACGGCGACAGAGGCAACGCAGACGGAAATCGGAGGTTTCTGGATGGTGGGAATTCAGCCTCAACGTATGATGGTATCCGTTACTCGCTGATTGCCATAATCCTCGGTATCTTCGGTGTAACCGATGGTATACGTTACTCGCTGCGTCACTCCGCGAATGTCCGAAGCGCAAAAAATAGCTAACTAGATCGTTACACGTGGCAGGTGCCTGCGTCGCCCAGTCCAACCATTCCCGCGGAAACCACGGGAGACAGAGAGAGACTCACACTAAAAAACTCCTCACTAGGAAAGAAACCTACGCCGCTTTAAGCGGCCGGCAAAGTCACGACAAAAAGACAACACGAGCTCGACAGCCCACCTGGAAGCTGCGCCGAAGGCTGGAGCCGATCCCGACGCGCCGAACGAAAAGCCCGTTGACGCGGACGAGCCGAAATTAAACGCCATGACTACCGCTTAAAAATAGCGACACAACGGAGCACGTGGCTATACGGAGCGCCTGCGGCGGCGGGGAACGTGGCTAATCTCCCGCCTTGATCGGCGGAACGATAATGGCTGCAAGTACGCTCTTTTATCGCGACTGGCTGTGTGTGGTGACGAGATCTGAAAGTTTCCTAGAGAACTCCGCTAACCAGTTCTGGCGATAACCTCGATGGGTGTTGGAACTAGATAAGCCTTAGTGTTGCCGAAGTGCAGACTGAAAGTGAAGTCGGGGACTAATTTGTAACGGGCTACACTTTCGAGGCACGCGTAAGTGGCACAATTTCCAAACAAAGAATTCATTTATTCCCTAGAAATCGAAAGCACTAGGCTATTTCATCCTAAACATTTACAAGGAATCAGTTGGATAGAGAACCTACAAGAGATGTACGGCAGAGTTTCTGATCAAGCATATTCCAGGAAGCGCACTGTCATGTGCTCGTGGAACGACGAAAAGGGTGGCAACACAAAAAAAAAAAACACAAAAAAAACGGCTAGAGGGACCTTATCAACAGCAGTAAATTGAAACCAGTCGGTAAAAATCTCCCCATTGTGTGCAGCGTCATATGAGATATTGCTCGCCCTTCACTTGCTGCTGATTCCTTTCCTTCATAACCTCCCGCAAATCTGACAATCTCCATTTTCTAGCTCGTGAAAATGCCATGTCATCCCACCCAGCTTGGACACATGGGAAGAAATATGTCCCTTGTTCCACTTGGCAACGGCATCCTCCCCAAGCCACTTGGCAACGGCATCCTCCCCAAGCCCACTCGCATCAGCTCCTCCATGAGCTCAATCCCACCTCACCTCTCACCTCACCTCCCCGTGCCCATTCCACTCGCATCCTCACTCTCATTTTCTCTCATATTCACTTTATCCCCACCCTCATCTCATCCCCACCCACTTTAATCAACTTCCACGCTCCCCTTACTCGAAACCAACAAACCGCCCCTCCATATACCCCTCTTTACCAACCAAACCACCCTCACCCACCACCACCACCACCACCACCACCACCACCTGTGTATACTCCTTACAAGATCAGCCACGTTCTTTTAGTGAGTGATCCCCCCCCCGCGCCCCCCCTGTTGCCCCATCAGCTGATTCAACAGAGAGAGGTCATTTCCTCCTCCCTGCCCTCCCCCTCCCCCATGTCTCGCACCTGACAAGTAATCCTCCGCCCCTCCCAATCCCACTCCACCTGCACCCGCCCCTCCCAACTCCTGCGCAAACAGCAGACTCTCATTCAGCCCTAAACGCCCTGCTAAAGGGTTTACCCCTTCCACTAACCCAAGGTTCCCTCCTGCTCCTCCACCCCCCAGCCCTCCCCCTCCCCCTCCCCCCCCCCCCTCCTCCTCCTCCTCCTCCCACTCCTCCTCCCATTTGAAACAGCGCTGCCGCATTCTGACTCCCCATTGGAAGCCCGGAAGCAGCCATGCTTGCGCGCAACGCCGCCACGTCTTGCATATTGGCTGCTGCCGCCGCCGCCGCTGCAGCTGCCGCAGAGCCACCAGCACCGCCACCACCACCACCCCCCCCAGCCCCACCCACTCCTCCCCCAAACAGGCTCGCTAACCCTGCCGCACTCAACCCATACGCTCCCCCTCCTCCCCCTCCCCCTCCCCCTCCTCCGCCTCCTCCTCCCCCTCCCCCACCAGCGCCCCCTAGAGGACTACCCCCACCACCCCCACCCAACGCGCCCAGATTCCCTCCTAGGGCCTGCAGCGTGAGAGAATCAACCGACCCTAGGCCGCCTAGCCCAGCAGAACCGCCACCAGTTCCACCTCCCCCTGCTCCTCCCGCTCCCATGCGTTGCCGCGCCGCCCCTTCCTGCTGCGCCTGCAGCAATAAACTGATTTCATACCCGGTTAAACCTTGCAGTCCCAACGCCTGGGCTAACCCATTCGCTCCGCCTAACCCTGCCAAGGCGCCGTTGCCGCTGCTGTTCCCGCCTGCTACTCCTGTGCCCGCGGCAGCAGCAGCAGCCGCCGCAGCCGCCGCAGCAGCAGCAGCACTGGAGCCTTGTCCGCCCAGAAGCCCCGCTGCTGCTGCTGCTGCTGCAAGGGCGGAGTTGCTTAGTCCTCCTGCCCCTCCAAGCCCTGATAGGCCTGCAAGCGAGTGCGAGCCTACAGTCGACGACGCTGCCTCCTGCTGCTGCTGTTGCTGTTGCTGCTGCTGCTGCTGCTGCTCCTGCTCCTGCTGCTGCAGAGCCTGCAGCTGTGCTATTGTAGCTAGAGTGGAGGGATCTAGACCCCCTCCCGCAACCAGTGCTGCAGCAGCAGCTGCAGCCGCCGCCGCCGCCGCAGCACCCCCACCACCCATCCCAAGATTCCCCAACCCCGCAGCAGCAGCAAGCCCAGACAGCACATCCGCCCCTGCCCCCGCCCCCAGCCCCCCACCAGCTCCCCCCAGTCCCATCCCCCCTCCCGCTCCCCCTCCCCCTCCCCCTCCCGCTCCCCCTCCGCCACCAGTCAACCCAGCAGAGGAAGCAGCAGCAGCAGCCGCGAGGCTCATGCCTGGGGCTTTGGTGGTGCGGGTGCCGGCAGGTTGCACCTGCAGGGTGCCTCCAAAGAGACTGCCCTCCGTGGCTTGGAAGGACGCCACTGGGTGCGGCTGTGGGTTCACCCCGCTCAGCCGCTTCAGATACAGCCGATACTTCTGCAAGGGGGGTTGGGGGGGTTACGGGGAAGGAGACGGAGAGATGGAGAGACGGAGAGGGGAGACAGTGAGAGGGAGGCTGATGGCAGGGGCTTTGGTGGTGTGGGTTCCAGCAAGGTGCCTCCAAAGAGGCTGCCCTCCGTGGCCTGGAAGGACGCCACTGGGTGCGGCTGTGGGTTCACCCCGCTTAGCCGCTTCAGATACAGCCGATACTTCTGTGATAGGAAGGGGAGGGGGGGGGGGGGGGATTGGGAGGAGATGGAGGGGCGGAGAGAATGTGATGAATCGATACCCTCTCTGCATGCCTCTTCACCTTCCCTCAACCTGTCACTTCCCTGGTCAACCCTGCCAGCCTGCCTGCCTGTTTCCCCACCTCCCCTTTCCCCCGATATCCCACTTTCCGCCACAGCACAACAGATAGCCTATTGAAACACAGCAGCAGCCGAGCAGTCAGGCTACCAGTGAGCGCAGGGTAACCTGGTTACCAGCTGCCAGACGCACCTGCAGATGCGAGGCGACGTTCTCCCGAGTGAGTCCCTGCACGTTCATAATCTCCAGTATGCGCTTGGGCACCGCCTCTGGTGGAAAGGAAGGGGAAGGAGGCCGGGGAGGAAGGGGAACGGAGCAAAGAGGCAGGCAGGAGGGAGGAGCAGTGAGCTAGGGATGAGAGATGCCATTCTCCCGAGTGAGTCCCTGCACGTTCATAATCTCCAATATGCGCTTGGGCCCCGCCTCTGGTGGGGGGAGGCACAGGGAGCGAGGGCAAGGGGGCAGAGAGGCAGGAGGGAAGAGCAGCGAGGTGGCAGTGAGACATGGCGGTGTCCCGAGTAAGTCCCTGCACGTCCATGATCTCCACTCCACTATGCGCTTGCTTGGGTGCACCGCCTCTGGTCTGGTTATACAACAGGCGGAAGGGGGGCAGGAGGACGGAAGGAAGGAAGCGCAGGGAGCCAGCGACAAGCACAGGGCTGGTGAGTGCTTTAAGAACGCGTGGATTCGGTTGAGTCGGGTTGAACTCGGAAACGAACTCAAGTTCAGGGAAGCAGGCGAGCAGCGAGCAGCACACAGAGCAAGCACGCCGAGCAAGCAAGAAAGCAAGAAAGCACAAGAGCGTGCAGTGGCGGATGGACGAGGAGGCTGCTAGGGACGCGCAAATGCACAACCTGCTACCTGCTAGGCTGCTACCTGCTGATCGCCTCGCATGATTTTGAGTTGACTGAAAAGTGCCGGATGGACGAGGAGGCTGCTAGGGACGCGCAAATGCACAACCTGCTACCTACCTGCTGTATGTATCACCTCGTCTCGCATGCACCCTATGTCCACGGCCCGCGCACTCTCTCTTGACCGCACTCACGAGTTGGCCTTCTCATGCGGCTCATCAGGAGGAACGGAATAGAGAGTCTACTTTTGAGGCGCCTCAAAAGTAGACCTTCTCATGCGGCTCATTAGGAGGAGCGGAATAGACAAGGATGAGCGCGAGCTTATCTGGCAGCAGCACGCAGCACGCAGCATGCAGCATGCAGCATGCAGCACTCATTGTCACTGTCAACGCCCAGAAGGTACACCAACTGCTGGCGTGGCTCGAAGGACCACACCCACACCACACCACACCACACCACACCACACCACACCACACTCCGCGCGCCTTTTTCAGCGTCACTGAGCAGTCAGCAGGCAGAGGGCAGCACTCAAAGCAGGCAGCAGGCAGCAGGGGCACTCACTGTCCACGCCCAGGCGGCTGACAGGATTAACAAACTGCTGGTGCAGCTCAATGGACCACACCACACCACACGCGCCTTCTTGAGCATTATTGAGCAGTCAACACAGGCGGGGTAGGCAGCACACAGCACTTACTGTCCACTCCCAGCCGGTTGACAGCATTAACGAACTGCTGGTGCAGCTCGATAGACCACACCACACGCGCCTTCTTGAGCATCATCGAGCAGGCAACACAGGCAGAGGGACACTGCAGGTAGCAAGCAGCACTCACTGTCCACGCCCAGCCGGTTGACGGCGTTGACGAACTGCTGGTGCAGCTCAATAGACCACACCACACGCGCCTTCTTCAGCGTGGACGCGTCCTCGAGATACTCCTTCTTGCGCTTGCGGCGACTCAAACGTCACCTCGCAACACTCACAGCATGCAGCAGGCAGCACTCACTGCACACAGCAGGCAGCACTCACTGCACACAGCAAGCAGCACTTACTGTCCACTCCGAGCCGGTTGACGGCGTTGACGAACTGCTGGTGCAGCTCAATAGACCACACCACGCGCGCCTTCTTCAGAGTAGACGCGTCCTCCAGATAATCCTCCTTCTTGCGCTTGCTCCCCGCCCCGTCCCCATCACTCTCCCCCCCTCCGCCCCCGCCCCCGCCCCCGCCCCCGCCCCCGCCCCCGCCTCCGCCCCCCCCTGCAGCGGTCTCGTCCCAGTCCCCCCCAGGCTCCTGCTTAAAGGGGTCGCGCGGGGGGGCGGCGGCGGAGGAGGAGGAGGAGCGCTTGCGCACCACGTGCTGCCAGATGTTGCGCAGCTCCTCGATGCGCACGGGCTTTAAGAGGTAGTCGCACGCGCCGTGCGTTATGCCCTTCATTACTGCGCTTGTTTCCCCGTTCGCGCTCATCACTGGAGGAAGGGCGGAGCAGAGGGGGGGGAGGGGTGAGGGACGGGAGGGAGGGGGGAGAGGGGAGGAGGGAGGAACGGGAAGTGGGGGGGGGGGGGGGCGGGAATGGGGGAGGGGGGGTGGGGGGTGAAGTAGAGAGGAAAGGGGAGGGAGATGCGTATGTGAAATATGAGCCTCGAGCAGCAGCAGCAGCAGCAGCAGCAGCATTTGTTGGAGTCAAAGAAATGATGAGGGAAGGAAGGAACCGACAGAAGGAAGAGGTAAGCTGCATGCACGAAATAGACAGAGAGAGGGAGGGAGGGAGGGAGGGAGGGAGGGAGGGAGGGAGGGAGGGAGAGAGAGAAATAGACAGAAAGAGAGTGCAAGAGACAGCGAGGCAGCGAAAGAGGGCAGCGGAAGGGAGAGAGAGCGCAAGCACAAGTGCAAGCGAAGGGGAGCGCAACGCACTGATAACGGGGAGGTCGAGCTCGACTCGAGACCAATGAGTTGGAGGAGCTTGAAGCCGTCCATGTCGGGCATGGCATGTACACGTCGCTGATCAACAGAGAGTGCAAGAGCAAGTGCAAGTGCATGTGATTGCAAGGGAACGGGAGTGCAACGCACTGATAACGGGGAGGTCGAGTTCGAGGCCGATCAATTCGAGCAGCTTAAAGCCGTCCATGTCGGGCATGTACACGTCGCTGATCACCAGGTCGAACTTGTCTCGGTTCTCCCGCAGCAGAGAGAGCGCCGTTGCTGCGCGGCTGCATGTTGTCACTGGCGGGGGGGGGGGGGGGGGGGGGGGCAGCGGGGGGGGAAGGGGAGACTTTTGAGTCGACTCAAAAGGTTCTCCCGCAGCGGCGAGAGCGCCGTTGCCGCGCGGCTGCATGTCGTCACTGGCGGGGGGAGAAGGCGGGGGGGGGGGGGGGGGGGGGGGGAAGGGGAGACTTTTGAGTGCCTTTTGAGTCGACTGAAAAGGTTCTCCCGCAGCAGAGAGAGTGCCGTTGCCGCGCGGCTGCATGTCGTCACTGGCGGGGCGCGCGGCGGCGGGGGGGGGGGGGGGAGACGGCGGGGGGCGGAGACGGCGGGGGGTGGAGACGGCGGGGGGTGGAGACGGGCGGGGGGAAAACGAAACGAGACCATCAGTCAATGCACGCCCGCACGCGCACGTGCAGACGCACGCGCACGCACACACAATAACAACAATAGCTACAGTAGTGACAATAACAGCAATAACAACAGAAAGCAAAAGCATGTGCGCAAATAACCCTAAGCATGTGGCAACTACAGAAGTGGTATCGGCGAATGGAAACTGGCAGGAAGCACTGCAAAAAGCGAAGCCACAAAAGGCATGCGATTATCCAGCCTGCCGGCGCATGAACATGGCAACGCACAGCGCGCACATGTATACGAATTTTCAGGGGACATTTGAGTCGACTCAAAAGGGTCAAAGCTTGAGAAGATACGTGTATATCTGGCACACGAGAAAGGTCACGCACAGCGCACGTGCGTATTCAGCAGCAGCGGCAACAGCAGCGGCAACGGCGGCGGCGGCGACAGAAGGAGTAAACGGACTGACTCGAACGTTAGGCAAACAGCGAACGAACGACGTACAGAAACCGTAATAGGCAGTACCTTTAGGTCCTGAACCCCCCAGACTCGAACTGCTCCCGTGGACACGCCACCGCACTGTACCGCACTTCAACATTGTTAACCACTCTGGAAGTTCGAACTTGAGCCTATTAGAACCCTATGTTCCACACAACCCCCCACCCTCCCCTCCCCACGTCCTCTTCCCTTCTCCCCAACCTGCTATCCTCTCCGCCCCTCCCCTCCCCTCCCCACACCCCAAACCAGTTCTCTCCGAAACGATACTCGCTAAAAGTAGAAACATGCATCAGAGTAAGTAGCATGGGTTGCGCTGGAGAGCAAGAGGACTTTTGAGTCGAGTTAAAAGTCATTCTCGCTGAAATTAGAAACCGACAATGGATTATGTAGCACAGGTTGCTTGAGCGAGCAGGACTGGAGCACAGACCTGGCCCGAACCGACTCGCGTTAAGCCTTCAACCAGCGACATCCATCACGCGCTCGCTAGTCGCTCAGGGCGATACGCGAGCTACATTCGCGAAACAAGACGAAACAAGACGAAACAAGACGAAACGCGACGAAACAGGACGAAACGCGACGAAACAGGACGAAACGACGAGTGGCGGGGGGCTCAAGGGAGCGCTGGAAAACGGGCGCGGTAGCGACGAGGGGTTACAGCGTAACGGGCGTACCAGTGTAGGCGCATTGGCGAAGCATGCGCTCGAGAATCATGAGGCAGAGAGGGTCATCGTCAACCACTAGTACCCTTAGTCCCGCCGGGAAGCTGCTGCCGCCAGTGCTCGTGTTGCCCGTGCCGGCCGCTGGTAGGCTCTGCGGCGACGGCTCGAGATCAGCGGAGTTGTCGTCTTCCGTGACCCCCAGCTCTTGCTGCAATCCGGAGTACATGCTGGCGAACTAAGGCGAACTTTGGCGAAATATGGCGTTGGCGAAAGTAAGGGGTGGGGAGAGAGGAACCGCCTGCTTTCCCTCCGCGGAACGAGCTACGGTTATGAAACTTAAAGACCTAACGCTACTGCAACGGGAGCTTAATTCATTTACCCCCCAAGGTGAAAATAAAGACCACTGATCGAGGGAGTATTTACATGACGTGCGTATCTACAGAAAATCCAGCACATTTTGGAAACAGGCTACAGCAGTAAAGCTGGCTGTGAATAGGGCACAATGAAGAAACTACACCCGATTTACATGATTGTTCGATGGTCGTGAAACCAGCGTTATCTCGGCAAGGAAAAATCGCCACTCACACGCATGATCAGCAAGCAGTAAGGAGGAGCATGCCGGCGCGGAGCTTAGGGATAATAATGCGCGGGCCGAGCGAGCGAGGAACCTAAGAGCTGCAGGCGGAACGGCATAGTAAAATGAGTGGAGAGCAGAAAGCAGAGAACGTAGAGCAGCAGAGAGAGAGACCTAGCCTGAGAGCGAAGGGTGCTGCTGCTCCTGCAGTGCGGCAGAGGCGGAGTTGTGAGCCAGATCCATGACTGTACGACACTATACTCTGTGCTTTCCTCTCTCTCCTATTCGGTGGGGCAGAGCAAACCCTACCAACGGCTGACCCAGCTCAGCATAGACAGGTCAGCAGAGTGGTGAGTTGGTTGGTTGAAGCAGAAGTTTGCCGCTAGGTTCTTCGCAGATATTCGTGTACGCTGTGTTCTGGCGGTGGTTGTGTGTTCTGTTACTGATGAGCGGCGTCGTTAGCCGACCAGATGCTTTAGCGAAGAGATTTGCGGAACCTTAGGTTGGGGAAAGCGGCTGTTTGTGTGGTGTATTCTGTCTGGAGACGGGAAACGACACGCGCAGGCCATCCATCCATTTGATCAGACTTTTCGAAAGCTGCGAAAGGTTGAACGGTCAGCGACGCAGCTTCGTGCGATGAAAACAAGACTCGCAGAAAATAAATTTGCGAATCCATACACGCAGATGTCCGCTATACAGATACCATAAATAAAATAATCAACAGGCATACTGTACTATAAAGATAGCATAGCTGTTCCAGCTTATGTGTTTCATAGCCATATTCAGATCCCTCTTGGTGAGGAAGGAACTACCGTAGGTTAACGAAAAAAAGAATCATTCGAATATCATCCCTTGTAACGAAACCATGCCAAAGAAAACCCCTTATGGACACATCACACAGCCTTCCTCTTCATGCGCCACCATTTGTATGGTAATCTACGCAGCAGGGGTGTCCAGAGGTTTGGCTGCTCTTGCATTGAAGAAGGCGAAGAGCCTGGCACAGGCAACTTCAAGATGTTCGTAGGGGAACGATGAGAAGCAGATGCGGAAATACCCTGGCTCAGGGGCACGGCATGATTCACCTGAACAGTGGGTGGAGTGAGAGAAGAGAGGGGAGGGAAGGGAGGGGGGAAGAGGAGGGGATGGGGGATGATGGAGTGGGTGGGAGGGGAGGGTAGTAGAAAAATCAACTGGCACAATACACCAATAATTATACACACCAACCTCCAAAATAATAAACAAGAATGGGAAACAAAATCACAAACATCACCTAGACAGTCACCTGCACCCATTCCCAATTCTTTCACTAAAACCAACACCATCTAGGCATTCACCAAGACTCTTCCCCATTGATTTCATTGGAGCGAGAGAGAGAGAGAGAGAGAGAGAGAGAGAGAGAGAGAGAGAGAGAGAGAGAGAGAGAGAGAGAGAGAGAGAGTGAGGACTAGATTTTCCAGATTTTCGTAGGCGGAGAGAGAGCGAGAGAGAGTGAGGACTTAGCCTCTGTCCCTTGCCTCTGTCCCTTGCCTCTAGGCTATATAAGGGTCCCGTAGGGGCCTCTTCCCCTCATTAGTTCATTCAGTTTCCAGATTTTCGTAGGCGGAGAGAGAGCGAGAGAGAGTGAGGACTTAGCCTCTGTCCCTTGCCTCTGTCCCTTGCCTCTAGGCTATATAAGGGTCCCGTAGGGGCCTCTTCCCCTCATTAGTTCATTCAGTTTCCAGATTTTCGTAGGCGGAGAGAGAGCGAGAGAGTGAGGACTTAGCCTCTGTCCCTTGCCTCTAGGCTATATAAGGGTCCCGTAGGGGCCTCTTCCCCTCATTAGTTCATTCAGTTTCCAGATTTTCGTAGGCGGAGAGAGAGCGAGAGAGAGTGAGGACTTAGCCTCTGTCCCTTGCCTCTGTCCCTTGCCTCTAGGCTATATAAGGGTCCCGTAGGGGCCTCTTCCCCTCATTAGTTCATTCAGTTTCCAGATTTTCGTAGGCGGAGAGAGAGCGAGAGAGTGAGGACTTAGCCTCTGTCCCTTGCCTCTGTCCCTTGCCTCTAGGCTATATAAGGGTCCCGTAGGGGCCTCTTCCCCTCATTAGTTCATTCAGTTTCCAGATTTTCGTAGGCGCTCGCGCCGGCGGCCTGCGGTCGCCAGCGCTCGCGTTGCGCGGCCTTCGGCCGCGTGCTTCGGGGTGGCAAGGATTAGCAGCAAGGAAAACAATAATCACACTACACAAGACAGCGATGGGCCACGCGCCAAGCTACTAGATCACAAGATGCAAAGGGTCTACGCGCGGAGGGCGCCGGAAACTACATCAGATGGGCGTCCAGCGCCGCGAGGATACCGCGCATGGTCCTCCACAGCTGCTGGACCACTAACGCGGTCGCGCCTACGGCTTCAATCCCGCCACCAGCCTGGAGGTGTGCGGTCAGACCCTGGACCGTCCCGTCCAGTTCTGAAACCGCAACGCCTCCCAACGCGGGCGCTCCCAGCACGGGTAGGAGGAGGAAGGCAAGTTGCGCAGCCGCCGCCAAGCAATCTCCTCGAGCCTCACGACCGAGAGTGCTCCCTGGGCTCTGGAGAATGGCGAAGTGCGCATTCACCAGAATCAGTGTCAGGGCCTGCTGGCACTCCACCAAGCGCCACAGCTGCGCAAGGGTCGCCGTGGGAATTTGAGCCATTCCCGTCCTCAACGCGGCAGGCGGAACGGGAAGAGGGGGCGGAGGCTGCACGGACGGAGCTTCAGCGAAACGACGAGGAGGAACGAAGGCTCCCCTCGCCCCTCCGCCTCCCACTCCCACAAATCCCGTGTCCGGAAGAGGGGGAATCCAGGGCAGGGGCGGATACTGCGAGGCAGACACAGGACGAACGTAGGCAGGCGGAGCACGGTCACCGCCAGGAGGAGGAGCCCGCGGGTACGCAGATGCGTGCGGAGCAGGCGCAGCAAGGGGCGCGGCCGGAACCTCCGCATTCACAGGAACGGGAGCGGGCGCAGGGGCGGCGGGAGCCGGGGAGCTACCAAGATTCGGTGCGCCATTCAGAGCGTTGCGCATCGCCGCTGCGAGCATCCCCGGGAAATCCTCGCGCAGCTGCTGCATCTCGCTCGGCCCACCGCGCCCGCGACCGTGACCTCCCCACCAGCCACCGCGACCTCCGCGATGCGCCGAACGATACGATGAGGAGGGGCGACGCCGAGGAGAACCTCGCCCCCGATGCGCTGCTGCATTGCCCCCCACGGCAGCGCGTATCTGAGACTCCGCGAGCCGCTGCGCGACGGGATTCACCGGCGCAGCCGAAGGGGCAACCAAGTGGGCAGAATCGGGGCCGGCGCCCACCGCTGTCCCCAGCGCAGGGCCCCCAGCGACAGCTTGGGCGGGCAGCTGCGCCACATGCGACGGCTGCGCAACGGGAACCGGCGCACCGGACACGGGAACAGCGTGCGGAAGGCCTGGCGGGGGCACCGGCGACAACGGGAGCGGAACCGCGGATGTCGCAACAACAGCAGGGGGAGCCGCGGGGAGTAGGGGAGCAGCAGCAACAGCAACAGCGGCAGCAGGGGCCTGAGGCGGAGCAATCGCACTCTCAGCGGTGTGACCTTGGTCCACCGCTGACTTCTCCGCTTCAGTCGCCATTACGGCGAACGCGTCGGCAGCAGGCGATCGAGGACGCAAGGTCGCGCCAGAGCGCGGGAGGAGCGAGTCGAGGGAATCCTCCGCCGGCGGCGGCAAATGCGCGGACGCGCGGGGGCCGTGCCGGAGGCCGAGGTCGTGGAAGGAGTATGCGCGAAGGCGGACCGGAGAACGCGTTCCAGACGGCGGCGCGTAGGGCTTTAACGGAGTTGGTAAGAGCTAATGAAGCAGATGCTTTGTCGGGGAGTATTTATGAGGCGGAGGAGGAGGAAGCAGACTCAACCTCGAATGCCTCGGAGGAGGCCCAGTCACAGACTCCTGCACAGCAGAGCGGCAACCCAACCCACGCCCGAAGCGCGGCAACAATTTCCATTCACGCACCCACCCAGCCGCGACCACCCCCACAGATTCGAACCGCTCCCAACAACCCTGACACCACTGCCAACCAGCCCGCCCAACAAATCCCGCCACCAACACCTGGGATTGAACCACGAACTGCAGCGAGGGGTAACCAGCAGCAGCCACAACCCCTCCCCCAAAAATCGCCCGAAGCCCTCGCCAAGGACGACACACTTTTCGCAAGTGTCAGTAACTGGAATCTGGACAATCTACGCGACAGTCGCAACGCACCTCTAGCACGTCGCCTTCCGGAAAAGCTGCGTCTGCTTTTCGCAATGGTCTTACTGACACCACTGCTGCGACTCGCCGACGACCCTGATAGCACCCAAGCCTGGACGGTTCTGCTGTTTGCCGCTCGCCTGACATTGCGTCAGCAGTCGCCGAAGCACCCCGATTGGAAGGCGACCAGAAGCAGATTGCGTAAATTCCTGCGAGGGGAGTGGGAATCACTTTACCAGGAAACGGTGGATTCGCTGGAGCAGCCCCCACCCCCCAGGAACCAACCGGATGACCTGGGGGTTATCTCCAGGGCAGAGGGTCTGGCGCGACGTGGCAGTCTGCGAAGGGCTGTCATGGCACTTGAAGCGACACCAGTCAGCAAGCCGACCCCAGAAGTTCTGGAATCTCTTCGCGCCAAACACCCACGTGCCCAGCACCCCGACACACCGTGGCCCCAGCCTGAGCCGGACACTTACCTGGCAGTGTCGCGAGAAGTTTTCATGAAGCTTCTCTCAAAGTGTGAAAACGGGGTTGGCGCTGGCCCCTCAGGCACGACGTTCGAACACCTGCGCGAAGCTGCACTGATGCACACGGCGGTCAGCTCACACTTACATGCGCTTGTCAACACGATCCTTCGCAGGAAGCTGCGCACGGAGGTCGGGGGGCTTCTTACCGCATCACGGTTGATAGCCCTCGATAAGCCAGACGGAGGGACAAGGCCAATAGCAATAGGCGAATGCCTCCTACGACTGGCAGCCAAAGCAGCGCTCACTCAGCTGGCAGAAGCGGCTAGGGAATTTTTCTTACCATTACAGTTTGGAGTTGCCGTGCCGGGGGGAGCAGAAGCAGTGATTCACATAGTTAGAACTTTCACCTCGGCCAATCCAGAGGCGCTAGTCCTGCAGGCGGATCTTGCTAACGCCTTCAACAGCGTCGATCGCCTCGCCATAGCGACAGCGCTGAAAGGCTCGCATCTGGAGCCGCTACTGCCTTTGGTGATCTTCTCTTACGGCCAGCCGTCTGCACTTCACCTGGACGCAGCTTTTGACCACGCGCCCTTGCTCAGCGAGACTGGAGTCCGCCAAGGGGACCCCCTCGGCCCCCTTCTTTTTGCCGCGGCCATGCATCCGGCTCTGAAGGCTGTTGCGGAGGCGCACCCAGATGTCATCTGCCTTGCTTACGCGGACGATGTTACCTTCTTAGGGGACCCGTCGTCATGTGCGGCCGCTTTTGATCATTTCACGAGCCTCCTGGCGGAAATCGGGCTCAAACACAACCCCGCCAAGTGCGGGGCCTGGTCCAATAGATCGCCGGCGGACTACACCCTGCCCGAGGGGGTTCCACTCAGCAGCGACGGGTTGAAAGTGCTGGGCAGTTACATCGGCACCCCAACAGCCACATCCGCCTTCATACGTTCCAGCCTGGAAGCGATGGGAGCGCCGCTGGGATTGATAGAACGAATGGAGCCTCAGCTGGCGGGACTGCTGCTGTCTCGGTGCGTCTCGCGCCGAGTGTCTTACTTGGCCCGCACGACTCCCCTTCCGTCCCTGCCCCAGGTGGAGTGGTCCGAATGGGGGAGGCGACTGCTGGATACCCTGCTCTCGGCATGCGGCATAAACCACCCGCGGGGGGAGGAGGAAATTTCACGCACTTGGGCGCAGGCCTCCCTCCCCGTCTCGCTTGGTGGGCTCGGACTGACAGACCCGTCCGTGGAGGGAAGCTACAGCTTCCTCGCCAGCTACACGCAGGCTCATCTCCTGCTGGACTCCCTGGAGGACGAATGCACCGGCCCATTGGAAGTAACACGCGAGGTGATGCGCGGTCCCTACACTCAGGCCTCCCCCTTGACCGAATGGCTAGCGAAATGCGAGGAGGAGCTCCCACTGCCAGCTCAGGAAGCCCTGCAAGCAGAGAGAACAGCCCCAACCGCAGGGAAGCTGCAGCACGGGCTGGCCACGGCTATCCAGGGCCAGCGCTATGCTGTCCAAGTGGAGGAGGTGAGGGGGATGAGCCCGAACCCGAACAATGGTCACACGCAGCGGATGATGTCCCTGTCGGGGTATGGCGCAGGGGATTGGTTAAACGCGGTGCCTCTGCACCGCGCGCTACACCTTGAGGCTCCGCACTACGCCAATGCGCTCCAGTTTCGGCTGGGGCTCCCCTTTGCGGCTCCCGGGGTCTGCAATTGCTCGAAGAAGGTGCAAATCCCAGACAAGCGGCTCCCAAACCACCTGCTTTGATGTGGGACAGGGGGAGGGCGCACAAACACGCATAATGAGCTAAGAGATGAATGCGCGCGAATGGCGCGCGACGCAGGCTTCATGGTGCACATCGAAACGGCCGCTTTCAGCCCAGTGGAAGAGAAGAAGGCTGATCTGGCCCTCCGCTGCCGCTCCAATGGCGCCGTCTACATCTGTGATGTGACGGTGACGGATCCCATCAGCACCCGCGACAAGAATGCAACTAAGGGGCGGGGGTGGGCAGCACGGGAAGCAGCAGATAAGAAGCACGGCCTCTACAGGGACCGCCCCGAGTGGGTGAAGTTTTTCCCGTTTGCGGTCGAGACTTATGGGTGCCCATGCCCTGAGACAGTGGATTTCCTGAAGCTGCTCGCGGAGACGGCTGCAAGGCGGTTTTTTAACGCCGAGCCAACCTCCTACCAAGCTGCCAAGCTCTTACACCAATATCGGCAGCGGTGGTCGGTGGCTCTACAAAGGGGGCAGTCGATTGGATACTTAGAGAAGTGCAGCATAGCGGCTGCAGTAGAATACCCACTGCTGGAGGCAGTAGGTGAGGCTCCGTCCCTAGGGGACTGCCTCTCGGTCCTTGATCCTGCGCTGGACCTAGCTTAGGGGGGGGGGGGGGGAATGGTAGAAGAGTAGTAAGAGGCTTTATGCACCAGACTCACAATAGCTACCACCTTGCATGCCTGTAAGTCTTATGATAATCAATGAAAGGGCCATTCGAGAGAGAGAGAGAGAGAGAGAGAGAGAGAGAGAGAGAGAGAGAGAGAGAGAGAGAGAGAGAGAGAGAGAGAAAGGGGGACTTAGCCTCTTCCCTCCTAGCCTCTTCCCCTTCCCCCAGCTATATAATGGCCAGCCGGCACCTTCCCTAGCTCATTATTCATTTGGTGATTCCAAATTTTCCGGCGCTCGTTTCGAGAGAGCGAGAGAGAAAGGGGGACTTAGCCTCTTCCCTCCTAGCCTCTTCCCCTTCCCCCAGCTATATAATGGCCAGCCGGCACCTTCCCTAGCTCATTATTCATTTGGTGATTCCAAATTTTCCGGCGCTTCGCGCCGGCGGCCTTCGGCCGCCGGCGCTCGCGTGCGCGGCCTACGGCCGCGCATTTTAGGAGGCAAGCTTAGGTAACGGGACAACTTTAGCAGACAGCATGGCGACAAACATCATCAACTAGCAGGCATCATGGAGAAGGTCTACACAAGACAAAGGGGGGCACCTACATGCGGTCCGCCCCCAGAAACGAGAGCATTCCGCGCGTGGTCTGCCACAAGTGGCGGACCACTGACACGCAGGCGGTTAGAGCATCTCCGGGTGTGCCTTCAACCGACCCTGCAATGTGCCTCAGATCCAGGGCCGCGCGAGCCAGCAGGTTGGCCGCGTCTGCACCCGGGGAGGGCGCTGCCTGCAGTGGCGCCAAGAGGGATAGGATCTCATCCGCCGCCCCCAAGCACGCTGCTTGCGGTTTCTCAGCAAATGTGCTCGGGCGGGATATCGGCATCGACGCACGAGTCGACCGGAGAACACGCGCCAGTGCCTCTAGGCACTCCGACAGTATCCACAGCTGACGCAGGGTCGCCGTGGAACATGAATACTCCGCCTCCTCAAGGCGAGGACGAGGGTCACGATACGGACCCCTTGCTGGGCCTCCGCCAGCGCCAACAAAACCCGGGAGAACAGGCGGCTGCTGGACAGAGCGCTGCAGGGACACCGCACGGTTGGCTACCTCGACAATGGCGGGAAGAGAACGAGGAGCGTCTGGCGGAACGGAGCGACAGGCTGTCGCCGCCTGCGACTCACGGAGAGCAGTTGCGAGCACGTCCGGAAGCCTCTCCAGGGCGCGCGCAAAGTCCGACGCAGACTGGCGACCCCCGCCCCCGCGTCCGCGGCCCCCGCGACTGCCACGCCGCCCACGACTATTCGACCACGAGCGGGCTGGAGATTGTGGCCGGGACGTGCTGCGCGGGCGGAGCGCAAGGGATCGCTCACGACGCGATGGAGAATGGCGCCGCTGGCGCTTCACCGGCGATTCGCGCGGAGAACGGCGAGCAGGAGAGCGACGCCCTGAGGATCGGCGCGCGGGTGAATGACAGCGAGGCGAATGGCGAGATGGGGAACGGTGACTTGGCGAACGACGCCCAGGGGAACGGCTGCGGCTCCCCTGACGACGAGGGGAGCGACGCTCGCGGCGATCTTCACGCCGCCCCTCGCAGCGTTCGTCACGAGGCTCAGGCGTCCGACGACGCGGAGAACGCCCCCGGTGCGGCTCCGCCAAGGCGCCAGAACGCACAGCGGACTCCGTGCGGGTTGCCACTCTCGGAGGCGAATCAGCGACGCGCGGCCCGGGAGGACGGCGCTGGTCCTCAAATCGGCGCCGGATTTGGTCCGCAGCAGCGGGAGGACGAGCAGGAACGCTCACCGCCGGGCGTGGCGGAAGCACAGGTGCACTCTCCGCGGTACACTCGCGGTCGTGGGCGGACGGAAGCGCCATCTGCGCAAGCACAAGGCGCAATTCCAACACAAGGGGAGCCTACAACCCCGACTTTCCCCACGCAACAGGCGGCGCTAGCAGCAGGGACCCCGCAGAGCGGACGGGGAAGCGCGCGGGGGAGAGGATCGCGACGAGGAGCGCGCGGAGGACAGAGGAGCGCAGGTCAAGCGGCGAGGGGGCGCGGGCGCCAACCACCGAGCCCAATCTGGCTAGGGGAGCCGGCGGAACGAATCACGCGGCAGTCGTTCGCTAGGCGCGGGGCGAGAGGTGGTGCACCAGCGCAAGCAGGGAGGAACGTCGATATCATCAGAGAGGCGAGAGACGAGGACTATATACCGTCAGATCTGAGGCAACCAGACAATCCCGACTCACCTCGCGCGGAATCAGGAGAGGAGGTGGCGCAGCAACAGGAGAGAGGAACCAACCGCAGACAGCAGCGCAGAGCCCAGCCCCCACCGGACCAAGCCCTATCTGCGTCCCAGCTGGCCTCGCGGGAGGATCTTTTCCAGATCGCGATGACCTGGGACCTTACGCTCCTAACATCCATCACCCACCAACCAATCGTCCGCCGACTGCCGCCGCAGATCCTCAGCGACTACTCCACCTGTATGCTGGCTGCCTTACTACGGATCTCAAAGCTGCCTAATTGCGCGGGAGCGTGGCGGGTCCTCGTGTTCCTGCCACGTCTCACGCTAAGACTTAGCCGGAGATCCAGCTCTAGGTGGAAACTGCTGCGGGCACAGATGCATCTATTCCGATGTGGACACTGGACCCAGCTGTACACCGAATACTTGGGGTCAATGCACCTGGCCGAACCACCTCAGCACCAACGTGACCCGCTGGGAATCTGCTCACGTGCGGAGGGGTTGGTGAAAAGGGGTAACCTGCGAAAGGCGTTAGCGGCCCTTCAACCCTCGCCATCAGCACCGGCGACATTCGCGACACTGCAGCAGCTGGAATCGAAACACCCCCAACCCCAAAATGACCTGCCCGACTGGGTCCACTCCTACACGACACCCACACAATTTTCAACCACCCTGGAAAGCTTTTCGGACGTCCTCGGGGAATGCCCCAGGGGAATTGGGGCTGGCCCATCGGGGTCAACCTTCGAACACTACCGCGATCCAGCGCTAAGTAACATCGAGGTACTAGGGCACCTCCACTCCGCCGTTAAACACCTTCTCTCGACAAACCTTTCCACCGAGGTTGCAGCCCTACTCGCCCCGTCCCGCCTTATAGCCTTCGCCAAACCAGGGGGGGGGGTACGCCCAATCGCGATTGGAGAAACATTGCTTAGGCTGGCGGCGAAAGTGGCACTCTCAGACCTGCAAGGAGAAACGCGAAAATTTTTCCTACCTCAACAATTTGGCGTGGCAGTCCCGGGAGGTGCTGAGTTCGTCATCCATGCAGTCAGAGACCTCACCACCGTGCAGCCCTCCAGCCTAGTCCTCCAACTCGACATTGAGAACGCGTTCAACTCAGTCGAGAGGAGCGCGTTCTTCAACGCACTTATCGGCTCCCCGCTAGCCCCCCTCATCCCCTTCACACGCTCTTTCTACGCATGAGCATGAGCGCTGCTGCTGGACCCATGCTTTAATTCCACGGCACTCACCAGCGGAAGAGGAGTCGCACAGGGGGATCCCCTCGCACCCCTGCTACTCGCGGCGTCTATCCAGCAGCACCTCAGGCACGTGGCAGCGGAGCACCCGGAAGTCACCGTCCTCGCGTACGCAGACGACATAACCATGATTGGACCCGCGACGGCGACGCTAGACGCGCTAAGGGAGCTCACGCCGCTACTAGCACAGGATGGCCTCACCTGCAACTTTATGAAGTCGTCGGCGTGGTCCTCCATGCCGCTTGGAGGTGTCGTGCTCCCTGAAGGCCTCCCCCACACCCACGAGGGGGTACGGGTGTTGGGAAGTCCTGTGGGGTCGCAGAGCTTCTGCTCTGCCTTTGTCCGCAGTACACTGACAGACGCGGCAGCCCCCTTGGGTTCCCTGGCGTCCATCCACCCACAACATGCCCTCCTGCTACTGTCCCGTTGCATCAGCCGCAGAATCGGCTACCTGCTACGCACTACCCCAGCAGACGTCTTACCCCTCTCGGAATGGCACACATGGTGCTCCGAACTACTGCACACGGCCTTGACCGCCGCCAGCATTCAACCGCCACGCCGAGAAGCCGAGTTCAACTTCCTGCTCCGACAAGCAACTCTTCCAGTCGCCCTGGGCGGGCTGGGACTTACAGACCCCACAACAGAAGCAGCACCGGCCTACCTGGCATCAACGACGGAGGCGCTACGACTGCTCCGCTCCCTTGACCTACCAGCAACCGCGGCACTGGGGGCCAACAACAACACCCTGCAGCCGTCCGCAGCGCACTCAGTAACCATCCAGGACATGGAGGGGCGCCTGCCACCGCTGGCGCTACAAAACCTCCGGGAGGAGCAGCAAACCCCGTCCCAAGACCAGCTGCAACGCGCCCTCTCTCAGGAGGTGCACGCGGCAAAGGCCGACGCCTTGACAGAGGAGTCACGCACCATCCGGTCAGCCCCCGAGATGGGTCACTCACTCCGCCTCATCAGCCTGAGAGGGGAGGGAGCGGGAGCATGGCTGCAGGCCCTACCTTTGACCCCGGACCTTTGCTTCTCACCGGGACAATTCCGAGCAGCCCTGGCCTTCCGCATGGGCATCCGACAGAATGTACCCACTGTGTGCGAGTGTGGAGAACTCGTAGCCGACTGCAGCCTACCCAACCACCTACTCCGCTGCAGCACAGGCCCCGACAGGACACGCACACACAACCAGCTAGCTTTTGCCGTGGCTAAAATGGCAAGGGAAGCACAGCTGGTGGTATACCTGGAGAACGCCATGTACTCACCGCCGGATGACCCGAAGAAAGCCGATGTGATTGTACGCGACCCGGACAGTGGAGAGACTTGGATCACAGACACCACTATCACAGACCCCGTGCTGCAGAACCGGGACCCCACAGCCCGCAAACCCCCAGGCTGGGCTGCTAGAGAGGCACAGAGGCGGAAGGAGAGGGAGTACTACCGACACACGGAACACGTGGTGTTTTGCGCCCTAGCCGTCGAGACCTACGGGGCAAACGCGCCCACCACGACTGCGTTCCTGAAGCTGCTGGCCACAGCAGCAGCTAGGAACCGGTTCAGGGCCAACCCCCTGGCGAAATCGGCCAAGAAGATGGCCTGCCACTTCAGCCAGCGCTGGTCAGTGGCCCTCCAGCGCTCCCAGGCTAATGCCCTGCACACCAAGGCCAGGGCTGGGATCGAGGCAGCGCACCCCCAGATGGCAGCGGACCCCTGGCCGCTGCACCTGGGGGACATCCTCCACACGCTGGAGGGCTAGAGGGTCACTCAGGGGGGGGGGTGAAGAGTGGTAAGTTTTGGGGCTTAAGGGATAGAGGTTATCATGGATAGCACCGCATGTTTGTACCCCTGCTGAATTAATACAAAGGACCGTTTGAGAGAGAGAGAGAGAGAGAGAGAGAGAGAGAGAGAGAGAGAGAGAGAGAGAGGATTAGCCTCTCCCCTTCTGCCTTTGCACTCACCCTTCTGCCCTCTCCCATGAGTACTTAAAGGCTCTCGTGGCTTCTTCATCCTTAGTATTCAGTTCATTCTGAAAATTTTTCGTTCGATCGTTCGAGAGAGCGAGAGAGAGGATTAGCCTCTCCCCTTCTGCCTTTGCACTCACCCTTCTGCCCTCTCCCATGAGTACTTAAAGGCTCTCGTGGCTTCTTCATCCTTAGTATTCAGTTCATTCTGAAAAATTTTCACGCTTCGCGCCGGCGCTCGCGTGCGCGGCCTTCGGCCGCGCGCTCGGGATGATAAGGGGGAACAACAAGCAGTAGTTTAGGCATCAGACACAAGCAAGGCAAGCATCGACACCTAGCAACACGATAATGGAACGGGTCTACACGCGCAAGGGGGGAGCACCTACATGCGGTCCGCGTCTACCGCAGCGAGCATTCCGCTCGTGTTCAACCACAACTGGCGGACCACTAACACGGTGGCGCCTACAACGTCAACGGGAGTACCAGGACCTGCTACAAGCGTCCTCAGAGCCAGGGCCGAGTCAGCCAGCTGGCTGGCCGAGGCTGCTCCCGGCGAGGGCTCTACCTGCAGTGGCGTTACGAGCGCGAATAGCGCTGACGCCGCCGCATGACAATCAGCTCGCGGTTTCTGAGAGAACCTGCTCGGAGGGCTCACCGGCATGGAGTCATATGACTCCTGGAGAATCCGCTCAAGGCTCTGCAGGGACGCCGCCAGCGACCATAGGCGGGCCAAGGTCGCCGTGGGAATTCTCTTCATCGGCGGAAGCAACGCGGACGAGCGGGCACGGTGAGACGACACGGCGAGATCACGCGGAGCAGGAAGAGGACGCGGCGGTTCATACTGAGCCCACGGCAGCCCGCCACCAGCGCCTACGAAGCCCATTCCCGCAGGCAGCGGCCGATCTGAGCGCGCCGGGGATCCGAATGGATTGTGAGGCAGGAGCGCGGAGAGAGGGACGACGGGAGCAGCGCGAGGAGCTGGGGGTGACGCCGACCCCGCACGTGAGCGACGAAGCTCCTTCTCCACGTCATCAAGCCTATCCAGAAGACGGCGCTCCATTGCGGACGGCGCTGGACGCGCTTTTCCCCCGCGACCATAACCTCCCTGCCGCCCGCGACGCCCCTGACCACTTGCGTCCGAACGCACAGGCGACTGCTGGCGAGACGAGCCCAGCTGACGCTGGCGTTCAGGGGAACGGACCACGCGACGAGGAGAGTCGAGCCGTGGACGCTTCGAGGGACGTGGCGAACGCGGAGGCGATCGAGGACGGGACGACTGGCGTACGGGCGAACGGTGACGAGAATGAGGGCGAGCGGGCGAACGGTGGCGGTGTGACCTGCGATCACGCGAACGACTCCGTGACGCCACGCGACGAGGCGAACGCGGCGACCGCGGGCCAGCGTGAAGACCTTCCCTGCGGCTCTCCCGCCTATCGCCGCGAATCACAGATGAACGTCGGCGAGGGGAATGCTCCTGGTGCGCCACACCCACTCCGCCGTAGCGCTCGGCGGACGCCGCGTGAGCAGGCTCCGGCTGAGGCAGGGACCGGCCCCCGCGCGAGGTCAGAGCGCGCTGCTGATCTTCGAAACGACGGCGGATCCGATCCGCAGACGCCGGCGGCGCGACAGGCACGCTCGCGGCAGGGCGCGCAGGAGGAAGCGGGCGGGGAGCTGGATCGCTCTCCGCGGTTCGCCCCAAGGCAGGAGCTTCAAGGGAACTCATCGGTACGTCGGGAAGAGGGCGCGCGGACACTCAGCGGCCGACAAGTCGGCGGAAGAACAGCAGGCCGCGGAAGGAGAGCTGCGGGACGCGGGGGGAGAGCACGTGGGGGTGGACCGGAAAACGTGTACCAGCAGGCGGGGAGGCGGGCTTTAAACGAGATGAGCGGTGATAATGAAACCTCCACTTCAGACAGTAGCTTTGTAGCAGCCGAGTCCACTGACTCGACTTCCAGCTCTGAGTCCTTGGACGACGAGCAGCTTCAGACTCCTGCTCGAGCGGGCAGAGCAGCAGCAGCAGCATCTCACATGGCGGGGGGAGCTGCAGCAGTGAGATCCATTAGGAGGGGTCCCCCAACACCAACCCGAGCCGCATCAGGCAACATTGTAACTGCACCAATCCCAACCACGAATTCCCACATTCAGACCCCTAGCCAGGCCGGACATCAATCTGCACCTGGCGGTAACCCCGTCCCAACCCAAGCCCCAGAGGAGAAATCCCCAGAATCACTCGCCAAGGACGACACGCTATTCGCCAGCGTGTCAAACTGGGATCTGACGAAATTGCGTGACTCTCGCCACGCACCTCTTTCCCGTCACCTCCCACCAGACCCACGCAAACTTTTCGCCACAGCTCTGTTGGTTCCGCTGCTGCGCTTGGCGAAATATCCAGACTCACCTTCTGCATGGACGGTCGTCCTGTTTCTCGCTCGATTAACACTTCGCCAGCTGTCACCTAGGCGCCCAGACTGGAAGGCTGTCAGTGCCCGCCTTCGTCAGTTTCTGTCAGGACAATGGGACAAATTATACACTGAAACAGTGGGTTCACTGTCGTGGCCCCAACCACCCAGACACCAGCCCGATGACATTGGTGTCATCGCTAGGGCAGAGGGGTTGGCACGACGTGGCAGCCTACGACGCGCCGTGATGGCACTTGAAGCCACGCCAGTCAGCACCCCCTCTCCAACTGTGCTGGAGGCCCTGCGCGCCAAGCACCCACCTGCGCCCGCCTCCCCACCTGACTGGAACTTTCCAGAACCTGACCCTCACCTATCGGCACCGTTTGCTGTCTTCTCCAAGGTGCTGGGAAGCTGCGAGATGGGGGTGGGAGCGGGCCCCTCAGGAACAACTTTCGAACACTTACGCGATGCAACGCTGATCAACCACTCCGTTGGGAAACACCTGCACGCGCTAGTCAACACGATATTAACAGGAAAATTACCACCTGCGGTGGCTGAGCTCCTCACCGCCTCAAGATTGATTGCCCTGAGCAAGCCCGATGGGGGGACGCGACCAATTGCCATCGGCGAGAGCATAACACGCCTGGCAGCTAAGACGGCGCTTACTTTGACTGCAGGGGCCGCTCGTGTATTCTTCCTACCGCACCAGTTCGGCGTGGCAGTCCCTGTTAAAGTAGTAGGTAGAGTTAGGTGGGCTTGGGAGCCATAGCTTAGGAGCCTTGGTAGTTAAGTTCGAGGGTGAGGAGAGTGTCGAGAAAATTGTAAAGGAGAATTGAGGAATGAGGGTTTCACTATAGGTTCAAGGGTACAAACATGAAAGAAGAGAAGCAAGGTGCACCACCTAACAAGCAAGATAACTGCACTAAGTCTACATTGCAGGCAGTTATAAAGTGATGTATACAATAATATTCTGACACACCCCCTAACTGCCTGCAGTGAAGAACCATGTGCAGAAACACCCCCGGAAGGGGTACACCAAGGAGAGCGCAGCAGACAGAGAGGGCAAATGAGGAGGAGAGACTGTGGAGGAAGAGAAGATGCGAGGCAACGACTGAAGCTGCAGAGGCACGGGCACAGGAGCGGCTGACTCAGTGGCTACCGAAGCAAGGGCGACGGACTACTGGAGTGACTGGCTCCGCGGCTATAGACGAGCGGTAGGAGCAACGGACCCACTGGCGACTGGTGCAACAGGCTCACTGGCTACCGAAGCAAGGGCGACGGACTACAGGCGCTGCAGGCGACACGACAGCTACCTTCACACAATCTCCCCCAGCTGCCCCACTCCCCTCTCACACACTCCCTGTTCAAACCCTAGCTCCACTCCCACAGCACCCCCCTTAAACCCTAAACCCTAGGCTCCCACACACCCACCCCCCTCAGCGACAGCTGCAGCAGTGGGAGACGAGGGAGGAGGAGGAGCAAGGGGAGGAACACATAACCGCCACCCCCACACCCGCCACCCCCATGCTCGGCACCCCACACCCCCAGCACCACGGAATGCACGGGGGGGGGGGAACGGGACGGGCTGCAGGTGCGGGCTGCTCCAAGGGTGGCCGCTGCAGGTGCGGGCTGCTCCAGGGGCGGCTGCTGCAGGTGCAGGCTGCTCCAGGGGCGGCTGCTGCAGGTGAGGGCTGCTCCAGGGGCGGCTGCTGCAGGTGCGGGCTGCTCCAGGGGCGGCTGCTGCAGTTGCGGGCTGCTCCAGGGGCGGCTGCTGCAGGGGCGGCCGCTTCAGGGGCGGCTGCTGCAGGGGTAGCGGCTGCTGGGGCGGCTGCTGCAGTGGCGGCTGCTCCAGGGGCGGCGGCTCCAGGGGCGGCTGCTGCAGCGGCGGCTGCTCCAGGGGCGGCTGCTGCTGGGGCGGCTGCTCCAGGGGCTGCTGCTGCAGTGGCGGCTCCAGGGGCGGCTGCTGCAGTGACGACTGCTCCAGGGGCGGCTGCTGCAGCGGCGGCTGCTCCAGGGGCGGCTGCTGCTGGGGCTGCTGCTGCAGTGGCGGCTCCAGGGGCGGCTGCTGCAGTGACGGCTGCTCCAGGGGCGGCGGCTCCAGGGGCGGCTGCTGCAGCGGCGGCTGCTCCAGGGGCGGCTGCTGCTGGGGCGGCTGCTCCAGGGGCTGCTGCTGCAGTGGCGGCTCCAGGGGCGGCTGCTGCAGTGACGGCTGCTCCAGGGGCGGCTGCTGCAGCGGCGGCTGCTCCAGGGGCGGCTGCTGCTGGGGCTGCTGCTGCAGTGGCGGCTCCAGGGGCGGCTGCTGCAGTGACGGCTGCTCCAGGGGCGGCGGCTCCAGGGGCGGCTGCTGCAGCGGCGGCTGCTCCAGGGGCGGCTGCCGCTGGGGCGGCTGCTGCTGGGGTGGCTGCTCCAGGGGCGGCTGCTGTTGCAAGGCAGGCCCGCGCGCTGCTGCAAAGCAGGCACAGGCGCAAGGGAGGCAGAGGCGGCGGCCAGGGGGGGGTGCGCCGCGACGAGCAGGTGACAGGGCCACAAGGGGCGGCAACGGAGCCGCTAGGGGCGGCAACGGGGCCGCGAAGAGCGGCGACGGGGCCGCTAGGGGCGGCAACGGGGCCGCTAAAGGCGGCGACGGTGCCGAGATGGGGCGGCGACAGGGCCGCGAAGTGTGGCGACGGGGCCACTGAGGGTAGCGCGAGGGGCCGTGAGAGGAGCAGCGACGGGGCCGCGAAGAGGCCGTGAGGGGCCGAGAAGGGCGGCGTCGGGGCAGGAAGACGCCGCGCGTCCGGGGCGCACGGCGGGCGGAAAACCGCCACGCGCCCCGAGCGCGTGGCGGGAAGAAAAAAGTGTCGCGCGCCACGGGGCGCGCGACAGAAAAGAAAGCAGCGGAAGCACGTGGGGCCCACAGGCCAAGAGCGTAGTCGCTCTGATTCCATGTTAGTGGTAGTAGGTAGAGTTAGGTGGGCTTGGGAGCCATAGCTTAGGAGCCTTGGTAGTTAAGTTCGAGGGTGAGGAGAGTGTCGAGAAAATTGTAAAGGAGAATTGAGGAATGAGGGTTTCACTATAGGTTCAAGGGTACAAACATGAAAGAAGAGAAGCAAGGTGCACCACCTAACAAGCAAGATAACTGCACTAAGTCTACATTGCAGGCAGTTATAAAGTGATGTATACAATAATATTCTGACAGTCCCTGGCGGGGCGGAGGCGATTATCCACATCACACGCACGTACCTCACGGTGAACACAGGAGCTTTGGTCCTACAGGCTGATCTGGCGAACGCATTTAACAGCGTTAACCGCAACGCCATCATCACATCTCTTCGGGACTCCTCTCTCGCTTCACTTTTACCGTTAGTTAAACTGCTGTACGGCCTTCCTTCGGCTCTATGTCTGGACGCTGGCTTCTCACACCCACCTCTGCTGAGCGAGACCGGGGTGCGGCAGGGAGATCCCCTCGGCCCGTTGCTGTTCGCTGCCGCCATACACCCAGCGCTGACGAAAACGGCGCTCAGCTTCCCCTCCGTGGTCTGTCTAGCCTATGCGGACGACGTAACTTTTCTTGGGGATGCAGCCATGTGCGCGGCGGCATTTGAGGACTTCACAGGAAACCTCGGGGAGATCGGGCTGCGCCACAACCCAGCCAAGTGCGCGGCCTGGTCTCAGGCTGGCCAGCAGGGAGCAGCGCTTCCAGTGGGCGTACCTTTCACAGAAGATGGGGTGAAGGTGCTTGGCAGCTTCATCGGTGGCAGCGACGCAACCGCCGCGTTCCTACGTGCCAGCCTCGACACCATGGGAGTGCCGCTGCCCTTAATCGCGCGGATGGAGCCGCAGCTGGCTTCCCTCCTGCTCTCACGGTGCATCTCACGGCGGATCGCTTACGTCGCCCGCACCACGCCGCTTTCGGCCCTGCCAGTCGAGGAGTGGTCAGACTGGGGTAAAAAGCTGTTTGAGACGTTGCTGACTGCCTGCGGCATTCGCCACCCACGGGGGGAGGCCGAGATTTCACGTACCTGGGCGCAAGCGTCACTCCCCATCTCGCTCGGTGGTTTGGGACTCACAGACCCTTCGGTGGAGGGTCGTGTTGGGTTCCTTGCAAGCTACACGCAAGCGCAGCACCTGCTCACCTCCATTGATGAGTCGGCCGTCGGCGCCTTGGCGGAAACGCGGATCCAGATGGTGGGGCCCTTCATCAACACGTCCCCGCTCTTTGACTGGTTGGAGAGGTGTGAGGAGTCATTGCCGGACGATGGGAAGGAGCTGCTGCAGAGCGATCGGGCTAATCCCAAGGGTGCCAAGCTGCAGCATGGGCTGGCAATCGCGGTACACGGACTGCGCTACGCGGAGCAGGTGCAGGCTACACGCATCATGCCACTCAACCCACTAAGCGGGCACACTCAGCGCATGCTTTCACTCTCAGGGTATGGGGCAGGAGACTGGCTCAACGCGGTCTCCTTCAACTCGACACTGCGGCTTGCCCCGGCTCACTTTGCGCATGCGCTGCAGTTCCGGATGGGGTTACCCTCGGCACCTGGCGTGTGTGACTGCCGCAATAAGACGGCAATCCTTGACAGGCGCCTGCCCAACCACCTGCTGCGCTGCGACACGGGGAAGGGGCGGACCAACACGCACAATGAGTTGCGCGATGCGTGTGTACACATGGCCGCCGACGCTGACTTCATGACTCACAGCGAAACGACTACGTTCTGCCCCGTCACTCTGAAGAAAGCCGACATTGCGATCCGGGACAAGTCCTCAGGAGCGGTGTGGATAGGGGACGTGACCATCACGGACCCCATCAGCACACGGGATCCCAACGCGGTCAAGGGCAGGGGATGGGCGGCCAGGGAGGCGGCGGAGAAGAAGATCTCCGACTACGAGGGCTCAACGGCCTCGTGGGTCGGGTTCTTCCCCCTTGCTGTTGATACCTATGGCTGTCCTTGCGCGGAGGTCCCTCAATTCCTCAAACTTCTGGCCGACACCGGCGCGCGCCGGCTCTTCAACGCGGCCCCCTCATCTTACCAGGCAACAAAGCTGCTGCACCAGTTCCGCCAGCGGTGGTCCGTGGCGCTGCAGCGGGCGCAGTCAGTGAGCTTCATGACGAAGTGCAACTACGCGGCTCAGGTGGAGAACCCACCTGTGGCGCTGCCGGGCGAAGGAATGTCCCTCGGGGACTGCCTTGCCATCCTGGAGCCGGCATTGGAGCTGCCTTAGAGGGTGAAGGAGGGTAGGTAGGATGTGGGGGTTTTAGAAGCTGAGATGCATTGCTTCTTATATCCTTGTGCATGCCTGTACCTTGCTCGGATCTAATACACGGACCGCTTGAGAGAGAGAGAGAGAGAGAGAGAGAGAGAGAGAGAGAGAGAGAGAGAGAGAGAGAGAGAGAGAGAGAGAGAGAGAGAGAGAGATCACAACAAGCATGCCATGTCAGCCCATCGTACAAATATCGACACACCTGATACCCAGCCAAACAAGAGACACAACAGAACAAGCCAGCGGCAACAGGACGAGCACCAGGAGCAGCAACAGGAGGAGCAACAGCAGCAACGGTAGCAGCAACGGGAGCAGCAACGAGAGGTTTAACAGAAGCAGCAACAGAAGAAGGAACGGAAGCAGAAACAGGAGCAGCAACAGGAGCAGCAACAGGAGGAGCAAGAGAAGCAGCAACAGGAGCAGCAACAGGAGCAGCAAGAGCAGCAGCAACGGAGCAGCAAGAGAAGCTAAGCTCACCTGGCACCATGACGAGCTTGGCCTCATCTTGATGTCGGTCCACAGCTATGCTTCTATCACTGTTAGCCTATGCTTTAGTACGCACCAAGACAAGAAGCGCTCACCAGGCACCAAGACAAGAAGCGCTCACCAGGCACCAAGATGAGCTTGGCCTCATCCTTGATGTCGGTCCACAGCTGCTTCTCAGCCTCAAAGGCGGGCGCAGAGAGGAAGCGACGCATGTCCGCAAACACAAACATGGCTGCTCCTGATGGCACCAACGGGATCGCAAGCTCCTGGTGTGAGGGGGTGGATGGGAAAAGAAGGGAGGAATAGGTGCTGTAAGGAATGACGCACGTCCACAAAGACAAACAAAAGCTCTAGGGTGCTGCAGATGAGCCAATGATTCCACAAGGTAGAAGGTTTCCCAACAGCTGCAGAGAGCCCACCTCTAGGGTGCTGCAGATGAGCCAATGATTCCACAAAGCAAAAGGTTTCCCACAGCTGCAGAGAGCCCAGCCCACCTCTAGGGTGCTGCAGATGAGTCGGTGTGAGCGGTGCAGCCGCTTCTTGTTCTCTGCCATAAACGAGTCCACCCACGCGTCATCCTCCAAAACAGCACTCAGTGCCCACTGCGTGTCCTGAGAGACCATCGAGAAGAGGTTCAGCATGCCTAGCGCCTGGGGGCGAGGGGAGGGGGAAGGGGCGGGTGTAAGGGAGGAGCTAAGCAAAGCCCTCGCTCATAAACGCGTCCACCCACGCGTCATCTTCCGAGAGCGCACTCAGCAGCGCCCACTGCGTGTCCTGAGAGACCATCGAGAAGAGTGCCTAGCGCCTGGGAGAGTGGGAGGGAAGAAGAAAGGGGGGAGGGAAGGGGGGAGGAGGGAGGGGAGGGGGGAGGGGGGAGGGTGCGTGAGCCCTTGATCATGCCTCAGTTACAGTGCACAGAGTTAGATTAACCAGCACCGACAGCAAGCAGCACCCACCGCACTAACAAGAGGAAGCACGCACAGCACCCAGCAGCACGCACCCCAAGCAGCTTCTGGTTGCGGGTGAAGATTATGCCAACCCGGAAGCCATTGAGTGTGAAGTCCTTGCTCATGCCTCCGTCACAGAAAGCTGTGTTAGAATAACCAGCACTCACAAGCGGCAGGGCAGCAGCACTCACCCTAAGCAGCTTCTGGTTGCGGGTGAAGAGGATGCCGACCCGGAAGCCATTGAGTGTGAAGTCCTTGCTCATGCCGTACGTCAGATGCACCCTCGCATCCACCTCCTCCCGAGAGGCCTTCCCCTCCGCCACCAGCCGCTCTGCCAGCTCCAACCCGCTCACAAACTCTGTGTTGGAAGGAGAGGAATGGCAGGAGGAGAATCGAGGGGAGGAGTGGGGTGCGGTGGAGTGGGGTGGGGTGGGGTGGGTTGGGGTGAGGCCTTCCCTTGCGCCACCAGCCGCTCTGCCAGCTCCAACCCGCTCACACACTCTGTGTTGCGGGGGGGATGAGGAGAGGGGAGGGTTGAGGTGGGGAGGGACTTGGCAGGGAGGGGTGGGGCGGGGAGGGGTGGGGCGGGGAGGGGTGGGGCGGGGAGGGGTGGGGCGGGGAGGGGTGGGGCGGGGAGGGGTGGGGCGGGGAGGGGTGGGGCGGGGAGGGGTGGGGTGGGGAGGGGTGGGGCGGGGAGGGGTGGGGCGGGGAGGGATGGGGCGGGGAGGGGTGGGGCGGGGAGGGGTGGGGCGGGGAGGGGTGGGGCGGGGAGGGGTGGGGCGGGGAGGGGTGGGGCGGGGAGGGGTGGGGCGGGGAGGGGTGGGGCGGGGAGGGGTGGGGCGGGGAGGGGTGGGGAAGATCGTCCACCTCCTCCCGAGAGGCCTTCCCATCCTCCACCAGCCGCTCTGCCAGCTCCACCCCGCTCACACACTCAGCTTGGGGGGGGGATGAGGAGAGGGGAGGCGAGGGGAGGTGAAGGGAGGGAAAGGAGGGAAGAAGGGTGCTGGCTGAGGCACTTTTGAGAATTCTCAAAAGAGGCAGGGAGGTATGGATCACCCGGCACACCATCCCTAGACAAAACAAACTTACCTGGCACGCCATCCCCAAACACGGATGCGGAGTACACCTCGTCCGCAACCACATGCAGACCCGCCTGCAGCGCCCACGCCACCAGCCAAGGTGACCCACCCACCCACCCACCCACGCCCCCTACCCCACCCACCCTTTTTCCCCTGCCGAACTTCGCACTGGCCTCACCCCTCGTTCACACCCTGCCTTCCTCACACATGCACTCACCCCTCACACATGCACTCACCCCTCACACATGCACTCACCCGGTGTGTCATCCCCAAACACGGATGCGGCATACACATCGTCCGCAACCACATGCAGACCCGCCTGCAGCGCGCACGCCACCAGCCAAGACAACTCACACACCCACCCACGCCCCCCACCCCACCCACCCTTTTTCCCCTGCCCAACTTCGCACTGGCCTCACCCCTCGTTCACACCCTGCCTTCCTCACACATGCACTCACCCCTCACACATGCACTCACCCCTCACACATGCACTCACCCCTCACACATGCACTCACCCCTCACACATGCACTCACCCCTCACACATGCACTCACCCCTCACACATGCACTCACCCCTCACACATGCACTCACCCCTCACACATGCACTCACCCCTCACACATGCACTCACCCCTCACACATGCACTCACCCGGTGTGTCATCCCCAAACACGGATGCGGCATACACATCGTCCGCAACCACATGCAGACCCGCCTGCAGCGCCCACGCCACCAGCCAAGACAACTCACACACCCACCCACGCCCCCCACCCCACCCACCCTTTTTCCCCTGCCCAACTTCGCACTGGCCTCACCCCTCGTTCACACCCTACCTTCCTCATACATGCACTCACCCGGTGCGTCATCCCCAAACACAGATGCGGCATACACATCGTCCGCAACCACATGCAGGCCCGCGTGCAGCACTCCCTCCTCACACACTTGGCGCACCCACCCACCCACCCACCCACCCACCCTTCCTTCAACAAAATCAGCTCACCCGGTGCGTCATCCCCAAACACGGATGCGGCATACACATCGTCCGCAACCACATGCAGGCCCGCCTGCAGCGCCCACGCCACCAGCGCCGCCACCGCTGCTTCGGGCCACACAGAGCCGTGCGGGTTGGTGGGGTTGGTGAGCACAATGGCTCGCACACACACGCCCCTCGCTGCTGCTGCGTCCAAAGCGGATTGGCAGTCCTGTGGGGTGGGCTGGAAGAGACGCTGGTCCGCTGTGGCCACTGAGACGATTTCCACCCGGTTTCTGCGGGTGGGGAGGGACGGGAGAGGGAGGGAGGAAGGACAGAGGGAGGTGGGGAAGCGAGAATCAGGGGGGTTGGGGAAGAGGAGAACCGGAAGGGGAGGTGGGGGAGAAGAGGGAACAGGTGGGGTTGGTGGGGTTGGTGAGCACAATGGCTCGCACGCATACGCCCCTCGCTGCTGCTGCATCCAGCGCGACTTGGCAGTCCTTGGGGGTGGGCTGGAACAGCCGCTGGTCCGCTGTGGCGACAGAGATGATTTCCACCCGGTTTCTGCGGGTTGCAGTCCGGGGGAGAGGGGAGGGAGTGGGGGGATGGAAGGGGCGGACTGGCAGTCCTGCGGGGTGGGCTGGAACAGCCGCTGGTCCGCTGTGGCCACTGGTATGACCTCCACACGGTTCCTGGGGGTTGCATTCCGGGAAGGGCGAGGCGGGGGGTGGAGAAGGGAAAGGGAAAGGGAAAGGGAGGGAGGGATGGTGGCCACACAGTCTGCTGGGGTTGGAAGAGGCACTGGTCCGCTGTGGTCACTGGAGATGATCTCATCTCCACGCGCTTCCTGGGGTTGGGGGCTGGGAAGGGGGAGGTAGGGGGCTGGGAAGGGGGAGGGAAGGGATAAAAAAAAAAACAAAACAAAACAAAAAAAAGGACACACATCTTTTAGGTTGTCCAAAAATGTTGTCTCGCAGCCCCCTGGCTTGGCTAATTGACGTTTTTTATACCCATAGGGCGCTATATGCATGGCTGCATGACTCCATGTGTGCACGCTTGCCCCTATGCCACCGTGTGCACGTGAGCATGCGTGTCTGGGGGTGCGCATGTGCACGCATGCCTGCATGCATGCATGTGCTCTCTAGGCACGTATCTCTCACTATCTCTGACTAGCATCACAGTCAACCCATCCCAACCCAGCAGCACCTGAGCTGGAAGGAAGTCGCCAATGAAGCCGGGGTAGAAGGGAGCAGGGATGAGCACACCGGTTCAAAGGCGAACAGACTTCAGCATCATGGTAATGCATCAATTGCACCACTCTCAACCCATCCCAGCCTAGCAGTACCGTACCGCACCTGAGCTGGAAGTCCCCAATGAATCCGGGGTAGAAGGGAGCGGGGATGAGAACCCCCTCGCCTGCATCACACAGGGTGTACGCCAGGTGCTCGACTATAGCACTCACTCCCGCCGCCGCACAGATGTTCTCTGGTGTCACCTGCATGGTGGTGAGGGGAGAGAGGGTGGCACTAGCAAGGGAATATCAATATGCTGCCCCAGTGCTCAACGATAGGGCTCACTCCCGCTGCTGCACAGATGTTGCCTGGTGATACCTGCACGGTGGTGAGGGGAGAGAGGGTGGCACTAGCAAGGGAATATCAATATGCTGCCCCAGTGCTCGACTATAGCGCTCACTCCCGCCGCTGCACAGATGTTGCCTGGTGATACCTGGATAGTGGTGAGGGGAGAGAGGGTGGCGAGAGTGTCACTATCGGGGAAACGTGATATTGCTGCCAGGTGCTCGACTATAGCGCTCACTCCCGCCCGCCGCCACACAGAGGTTGCCTGGTGATACCTGGATGATGGTGGGATCGGAAAGGGTGACACTTCAGGGGGGAATAATATGCCTCAGGCAAGCCTCAGACAGGCACTCGTCCCGACCATACATAGATGCTAACCCCACGTGATATACTGAGGAAGGGCAGGCTAGGCACACTTCAAGTGGTGTATCCATGCATGCATGGATGGATGTATGGTGGAGTGATAGCACTACTCCACGGCATGCCCACACACACACGGTGACTTTTGCGTCGACTCAAATCAAAAGTCACCTCAGTCGTCGCAGCAGACGCTGCATTGCATTGCGCCAGCCTCGCTCGCACCCCCACAGCACCCCTCGATTCACGTCACTGCAACTCACAAGTCCGGGCTGACTTTTGAGTCGACTCAAAAGCCTCGCACCCCCACAGCAGCACCCCTCGATTCACTTCACTGCAACTCACGAGTCCCGGGCAGCGTGGCAGCAGCAGGCGCTGCACGGTGTGCGCTACAGCCGCCTTGAACCGCGGCATGCCCGACACCTGGTTGTAGCGCGCCACCTCCGGCTCTATCGGCTCTCGCTTCGCCAGCTTCTCCTGATAAGGGTAAAGGGGGGCGGAGGGGAGTGGAGGAGGGAGGGGTGGGGGAAGGTTAGCGCGCCACCTCCGGCTCTATCGGCTCTCGCTTCGCCAGCTTCTCCTGGTGGGGGGAAAGGGGGAGCAAGGGCGGGGTGAGGGTTGGGGGGAAAACGGTGAGGAGAGGTGGGGAAAGGAAATGCCCGTCACCTGGTTGTAGCGCGCTACCTCGGGAGCGAGGCGGAGGGGGGAGGGGGGAGGGGGGGAACGATGAGGAGAGGTGGGGGGTGGCGGAATGCCCGTCACCTGGTTGTTGTAGCGCGCTACCTCCGGCTCTATCGGCGCACGATTGGCCAGCTTCTCCTGGTAGGGGGAGAGGCGGAGGGGGGGACGAGGGGTGGAGCGAGGGGTGGGGAGGAGGGGGGGCGGAGGGGGGACGGGGGGGTGGAGGGAAAGGGGGGGTTGAGTGCGGGGGGGAGAAGGGGGGAGGAGATTTGGTGGGACAAGCAGTGTGCGCTACAGCCGCCTTGAACTGCAGCATGCCTGTGACGTGATTTGAGACGTCTCAAAACACTTTTAACACATCACGTTGAATTGCAGCATGCCTGTGACGTGACCCGGTTGTAGCGCGCTACCTCTGGCTCTATTGCCGCACGATTGGCCAGCTTCTCCTGATAAGGGGAAAGGGGGGACGGGGGAAAGGGGGAGGTGGTGTGTGGGGTGTGGGGGGTGTGGGTAAGGCTGTAGCGCGGCACCTCTTGCCCTTCTTCTGTATGGGGGAAAAGGGGGAGGGGAGGGTTTGCGGAACAAATGGTGTGGAACGGCACCTGGGAGGAGGGAAAGAAGGGGGGAGAGAAGGGGGACGGGGGACGGGGGAAGGGGGAAGGGGGGGAGGCGGGAGAGAAGGGAGAAGGGAGAAGGTGGGGGGAGGGGGAGGGGGAAGAGGGGGTGTGGGTGGAACGACGAGCAACCAGATGTCGAAACACAAAACTGCAGACTTGCAGGCTACCTCACTTCCAGACCCTCAAACTTCACGCTCTCGTTACAATCACCCCCGATAACAGCCACCTCCCAACAACAGTCACACGCACCTGCAGCCAATCGAACATGAGCATGTTCTCCGCTATAGACAATGTAATAAACCCGTTAGGGTTACTCGTCGATGAGTACATATCCTTAGCGGTTTCCATAGACGCGGAGAAATAGTACAGCCCGGGAATAGGCTCCAAAGCGCGCTCGCCGCGACTCGAGAGGTCTCCTATCTCCCTCTTGCTATTAACTCGGACCGCCTCCGTGGCAGCGTCATTTGCTGAATCCGACAATAAGGCGTTGTCCGAAGCAAGGGGATTAGAGACCTCCTTAGAAGCGGAAGCTACGGGGAGGTTCGAGAGGCCGGGACACGTGTCGTCGCTGGATTTGTGGGAGCTGAAACTGCTCGATGCCGCCCCTTTGCCGTTCGTTTTAACACCACGCGAGTCATGTCCGAGAGCGCTTCGAATCCATTTAAACACCGGCCCAGCCGCCACTACCGCGGATGAGCCAATTGCGATTCCTATTAGGCGATCGCCCATGACGCTTCGTTACGGCGTTACAGCGTTACAAAGTTACCGAGGTAACAACGGTAATGGCCCTGCTCTCAGGCAAGCACGGTGAATCGTGGAACAGAAACAAACTGCAGTCGAAGGGGAACCATTCCAAGGCAACCAAAAACCAGGTCGCTGTTCGGGAGGCACTCCAGTCCGACTGCGGAAGTCGCAGCGAAAATCTTCCAGACAGGTTCGGAGCCCTCGAAATTGCTAGAAGAACACCATGGTGCTGTTCTGTTGCCGCGTTGGCTTTGCGGCAACAAACGCATAGCATCAGTTGATGCTTCGTACAGTCTTCCATGCTAGGGCCTCGAAAAATCCATCACAAGGGCGCGTTCCTTAAAACAGGCTCGGGACCCTCAGCACCAGTGCTGTGCTGTGCGGATGTGACTTGCGTGCAAAAGAACGCTGAACACGCAATGTGCTCAAAACCTACCTCGAAGATTCCTTTACGGGCAAATCTGATGTGCCTCACTGCTTTGCCAATCCCCACGACTAGGGGGGTTTCAGGCATAGCACGAGCGCACCCACCCACTCCGACTGGGCTACCGAGCGCTCCCAAGGCCCTGTTCTGTTGCCCACCGGCAAATGGTGGGCGGACAGCACAGCACAGCACAAGCTGTGCGTCGGGAGGCTCGGCATGCATCAACGGATTCGAAGGAACCCGCTATCTTCCTGCCATCCTCTTCGCAACTACAAAAACTTTCGCCAACCAATCCCTGCCCGGGACTACTTGTGCTATCCCTGGGTCCGCGCTTCGAGCGGGAACCAGTCTCGCACCAGTCTCGCACCCAGTTTGCCTGGGAGGGGGGGACAGCACAGCACTACTAGTTCAGCGTTCTTTTGCGCTAGGTGGGCCGCACAGCACAGCACAGCACTGGCCAGGTTCGGGATGGAGTTCAAGGTCCCGAGCCTGATTCAAGGAATGCGCCCTTGAAATGGAATCTTCGAGGATCACCGGTAGAGGCCCTCACGAAGCATCATCTAGTGCTGTGCGGAGGGGTCCGCACCAGTAGTGCGACAACAGAACTGGGCCCAAATCCCAGCCCGAGAGGGACTTTCAGAACCACCCTCAATGGTTCTTTCACAGGCAAATTTGGGCTGCGTTCTGGCCCTGTTCTGTTGCCCATCGGCTAGGAGGGGGCAGACAGAACAGCACAGCACCAGTGGTGCTGCGTGCTGCTTCCACGTATCATCGCGCCCCCAGGATGTCACGAAACACCTTCCTGCGACCCTCTGCGCAACTGCAAAGGCGCCGCGGAATTTTTGCGGGTGACAACAAAAAGCACCCAGAAAAATGAGATTACGGAAACCTCAAACACCACCACAACACCCCCCAGGGTTAACCAGCGGCCAAATTTTTACGCAGGTGAACCCTAGGGGCAATGCACTCAAACAGAAACGTGCTTTACCAAAAGTTTAAACCTGCCCGGGACGACTTGTGCTATCCCTGGATCCGCTCTCTGAGAGGGGACCGGGTTAGCACAAGCAGGGAATCCAGTTTGCCTGGGAGTAGGGGATAGCACCGCATCACTGGTTAACCGTTCTTTTGCGCTAAAACTTACGCACAGCACAGCACAGCACTGGTTAGGCTCGGGATGGAGTTCAGGCTCCCGAGCCTGTTTCAAGGAACGCGCCCTTTAAAATGAAGTATCTAGGTCCAAACATGTAAGCCCTGACGAAGCATGGTCTGGTGCTGTGCGGAGGGGTCCGCACAAGTAGTGCGGCAACAGAACAGGGCCTCTGTTGGCGCACAAGCCATTCGCGACTGCCGCACTGGTACTGCGGGCTGCGCTTTCCTCGAAAGGGAAAAAGGGCTGCAGCCTCATCAAAGAGTCTTGTTACCGACAAAAAAAAAGAACTTTCCTCCTTGTTTGAGAGAAAATATGTTGCTACACACTGCCCTGGCCCTTCTACGAAGTCAAATTTTCGCGAACAGATGCTCTGGATGTGGCACTCTCATTGGTTAGCCGTTGGATTGGTTTTGTGGTGAGAATTCCATCGGCAAATTACCAAATAACGGGCGTTCAGATCTGCCCCTTCATCCCCTCTCGATGAGCGCAGAGGGTTCGCACAAGCTGCGTGTGAAGTTTGCATGTGGAACCAAGGTCGTGGAATGTTCCCAGCGCACAGCCAGTTCAGAGTTTTTGTGCATGCGTGTGTAATGCGCGCACAACTTCCGCACCAGAATAACGACTTGGGCGGCTCGACGTGGGCTTTAATCCTTGTCATGCGCGTTCCTAGAATATTACTCGTTAGGGTTAAGCACAACTAATGCGCCAACAGAACGGGGCCTTGACTCAGACCGCACTCCGACTGAATTCCATGGTCTGAGGGGGAGTGCATTCTACTCCAGTCGCAGTACGTGGGAGTGGGTAAACCTACACCAGCGTACAGCTTTAAAAACGTTGGTTCTTTAGCTACCCTCCCAAAACAAACATTCAAGCTCAACTGCTTTCTCTTATCGATTTGCGCCTGCACCATTTTGCTCCAGTTATTTTCCATTTTTGAGAAGGGCAGTCCGTGGATTTTCTTTTCCCACGCTACAGTACTCACATCATGTGGGAGACGAAACTCCCGGACAGCGCCCACATCGCGACTCCACTAAGGGTACATTCGTATCTCGTGTCAGACACGAAGTTGAGGTTCGGATGAGATTCGGAAGACCCGAAGTGGCCCACTTCAGGACTTCCGAACATTGATTTTGCCTGAGTTCCTGGTCACTTCGGGTCTTCCGGCACTCAACTTCTAGTCTGACCTCATGTCAGACACGAGCTACGAATGTACCCTAAATTCACTCATCATCATCAGGCCTGGTCAGCTGGATTGTTGCGAGGCCCCGACCTGAAATGGCAGGGTTCAACTTCAAGCTCGCTGAACTTTGATTCGCTAAACACAGGGTGTCTGGGCCTGCCACACTGTCGCGACCCAGAGAGTCCCGAAATAACCAAGATGTGACAAACTGAACAGAGTGCAATGTATAGAGCGAATGTGTATTGCACTAGGGGGTCAAGGAATAGTAACTATGTGAGGGAAAGCAAATGCAAACATTACATAGCGAACAATAAACAGCAGGGAGCAAAGGCGAGCTTTAAGATGCAAAGCTGGCAGCCGTATTTGGGCCAGTCCCAAAGCGTAGGCCTTGTACAGCATTGCGTGGCTTGGAAAAAAAAATATGCGCGCGGTGTTGCAAACACCGTTAGCTGGTAAATTGTCGAGGCACATGATCAGTTTTGTACGAGGCGAGTACAGGTGCGACATAATGAACTGAAAAAAACTTACACTGTCAGAAATGTGAAGGAAAGAATGACTAGAAAGAGAGCAGTACAAGGTTTGTATAGGCAAAACCTAATTTGGGCTGTACCCCATAAGGAGTGCCCCACTACAGCCTAGAGCATAGTTCTGACACACCCCCATAGGCAAAGTGGGGGACAAGCAAGTGAACGAGACAAGGTCAAGCTCAGGGTGGATCACAACGTCACCACGCATTCTGAGCACAAGCAAATGGCCACAAGGCCAGTTCACATGCAGAGTTATATAAAGCAGAACAAGCAGTACAGTGATCAAAACCTAGCAAGTGGAAGCATGCAGGTATAAGGATATAGATCATAGTACAAGCAAAGTCAAGAAGTGAGCAAGTGAGGCCAAGTAGGCACAAGGCCTAGAACAGTACAGAAACGCTGATGATCACAAGGCTGAAGTGCCTTGGTGAAGACATCAGCAGTGTTGGCCTCAGAGGCCACGTAGACAAGACGAAGCTGACCACGCTGCTGCAACTCTCGAGCAAGGAAGTAGCGCAGAGCGATGTGCTTCGTTCTGTGCTCTAGTCTGTGCTCCTGACACAAGGCAATCATGGCCTTGTTGTCGACGTATAGAACTGGAGGAGAACGAGGCGGCTCGCCCAAGTCGGTCAGCAGGTAGGTGAGCCAGCGTAACTCCTGTGCAGCCATGGCCCATGCGTAGATCTCAGCCTCACAACTGGAGCTGAGAACAGAAGACGAGCGGGTAGACCGCCACGAAACAGAGCCGGAACCAAGGCTGAAGGTGTAACCCTGTGACGACCGCTGCGTAGCCAAGTCGTCAACCCAAGAAGCGTCTGCGTGACCAGTGAGGACAACTCGAGCCCGTCCTCCAAGCACGAGCCCCATGCCCGACGTACTGCACAAGTAGCGCATCACCCTCTTAGCGGCCTTCCAGTGCTCTGGTTGGTGTCTCCCGGGCGCAACGTAGCGAGCCAGGATGCTAAGAGGGTAAGCAAGGCCAGGTCGAGTGCAGGTCATCAGATACATGAGGCAGCCCACAAGCTCTGGATACGGGCCACTCGGCTCTACAGACTCATCCGAAGGTAGAGCTGAGAGCGAGTGACCGGTAGGCAGAGGAGTGGCCTGTGGCGAGGAGTACTCGAAGCCGAAGAGCTGAAGGACCTGCTGCACCATGTGTGACTGAGTCAAGGTAATGGTGCGCTGTGCTCTGTCCCGGGTGATCTGCAAGCCAAGATAGCTGCGCAGCTCACCCAGGTCTGTGCACGT